GGCAATGGTTGACAACGTTTTCATCAGGCAGGAAGGGAGGGGAAATATGTAGCAGGGACACAGACACCAAAACAAAGCTCTTTTCCAGAATTTCCCTGGTTAATTAAATAATATATATTTCTCTCTGTTTTGCTATTGGAAAATTCCTTTATTTCTTATCTGGTTTAAGGGTTTTCAACAAAACAAGGGGAAAGTTAAGCAAAGAGAAATCTCTTTAACAAAGCTCCGGATAGCTGTAACATCCCAGGAGGGGTTCTAATCCTTCCCAACTCTATCCAAAGCTGGGGAAAAAATGTTTTCTTATAAATACGCCTTACATTTGTTTATAAGTTACTTATTATATGTATCTCAGAGTCACCTGACAAGAATCTAAAATCCTTCCAGAAGTGCAATGAGAAAACTGTGGACTGGATTTTATACAATTCAGATGAATGTCAAACTGAGTAAATATTCTGAGAGGTGCAATGTTTCCAGATTATCAATTGGCTAGCTGGAATTATCTGCTTTAGGAATTTGTTTGAATACCAAAACCATATAAGAAGAGCAATGTGTCTTATATGGATGTTTCTATGAAGCTTTCTCAATAAAAACAATTTCTGTAAAAAAAAAAAAACAAAGAAGAGCAGTGAGATATACTCCACCTGCAGCCAGCATATCTCTCAGTTCGATGTTTAGAGAAAAAACATCAAAATTATAAACAGTTCACCTACCTGGAGTATTGTAGAATGTTGTCCTATAGAAGCTTCTTGTTCTCTTGACCAGCAGTTCTTGTAACTGACTGAGCCCAGCCTCGCCTTATATTCATTCTACCACCATTCACCTACATGTGCTGGGTCTCTATTGGCTGAAAAGGTGAGAAGTACTTCACAAAAGGAATGTTTACATTGTAATGGGACAGTTTCAGCTTTTCTTTGTTTTAGCTCCCCATCCCAATCACAGTCAGGATGAGTTCATTAACATTCTAATAGGTAGACATGTCTTCATTCCACCAAGAGAAAAATTATAAAGTACTATCTAGATGGTACAGGTGCCCAGAAGGGATTAAACACATAAACCCAGAGATGTCTGACAGGTGTTGGAGATGTGAAATAGAGGAGGGGACATACTTGCATATCTGGTGTTGTCGTCCTAAACTACAACCATTCTGGGAGTCAGTGTTTGAAATATATCGGTGTGTGGAGGAAACAAATATTGAAAAGGATCCCCTAATTGCATTATTAACATTGATACCAGGTCCAAAAAAATAATAATAAAAAATGATACTTTAAGATTTATGTTGGTAGCAGCTAAAATA